GATAGGAATCGGCTATATGATTTAGTCGACTAAATCGACTAAACATAGTAATTTACATATAAATTTTTTAGTCGACTTATCCCTAGTTATAATGAAATATTTTTATGCACATTACCTATCAAAGGCGGATATTGTTTTGTCATCATAGGAAAATAAAGCATGATCGAAGTAAGGACTTTCACTACACGTCTGGGGACCATAAGGTAATGATGCAAGAACTCGCTTTACGGCTTGGAATGGTCTAAACGACAATATGTAGTTTTGATAATATGAACAGCAAAATTATTAAACGATAGCAGCATTAAAGTATTACAACTCACCCTCCATTTCGAGCATGTCTAATTGAATACAAATGTTTTTTGAAATTCTCTCTGGCATAAAGATTATTCGAATGTGCAGAGTTAAATGAAAAAGGTTCATTGAAGGCAACTTGTTGAAAAACCTCACATAAAGTTTCATATTCAGTGAGAAATTCTTCAGACGCATTATCAAAAACCGAGATCACTTCAGTTGTAAGAAAATTATATATAACAAAAAAAGCTGTGTGCGATGCACCATCATTGTGCTAAAATAGATGTAAAATCAATATTACAGCAATGCGAAAAAAATTGTTAGAAACTTATCATTTAATTAATACTAACATGTCCGGTAACGCAATCGACATTTCCAAATTTAATAAGAAATTTGGACTCATCGATAAATTGGATTTTCCACATGACAAGTGAGGAAAGTTGTCCGAATATCTGATAAAAGTGACGCAAAGCTAAACCACTGTGATGTTATAAATATACATAAATAATATATAAATTAATATAATAAAATGGATAAAGTTACATATGATAATTTGTTACCCGTCATCAGTATCATAAGCTTTCTTAAATAAATAAGTAAGCAGTCTTTGTTTGATACCACTCATTGGAGCAACACCCTGTTTAATAAATAACAAAAGGTCAACGCGTTTTTATCATTTCACCAATAAATTTCTACCCATACTCTATGACGGATATTATTAATCTATGAAATGATTGTCGGTAAAGTGAACGCCTTCATATAAATCGATTTGATTACCTTTTCAGTGGGGGGTGTCGACAATGGTTCTGGGATACCTTGCAAAGAATTTTGTCTAGAGCCAAGGAAAGAACTTGAAGGAACTTTATTATCCATTGGACTGCTAAATGAATAAGCTGATAACGTGGAATCTAATGATGGCAATTCTAATTTCTCTTCATCCAACTCCATAATTTCTGATGTCGCGTTTTTATAAAGAATTGGGTTGACCATTGTCCTTTTGTTAATCTGAAATTGGGCATCAAAATCTCGATATTGAGCCAACACAAGTTGGTCATCGTCATAATTCAACCAGCCTATATCTTGTATATCAACAAAGTGACCGTCATCCTACAATATTTGACATAAAATTGTAATTTCTGATCTAGATTTGTCAAACATAAGCTTTCATACCTTGATATATAAAATATGAATTATCTGATTCTGAATTGACATGATAGAAAATAAATTGCCAATAAAACTAACGCCGGAGTGATATGATAACTGTATACATTCATTTTTATAAGTACGCTTATCGCACACCTATACATAGCATTAATACATTCGCTACTTAGCAAAAAGAAATTTATGATATAAATTATCGAAATTATATTGAATTTTTTTTTTTTTTTTACCTCTCCAGTAATTATTTCGACAAGATAAAAGGTGATGTCATCGAAATTTGGTATACAATTCAATGAACAAGGATATAGACGAGCCTCTTCAGGTTGACAATTTGAGGGTAAGGAAGATGCAAGTATCATCTAAAGGATTATTGGTTCCAACTTTAAAAAATAAAATAAAATAAAAATAAAAAACGCGTAATTTGAAAGTTTATGATATTACATATTTATGATTTGTCGTGACCAAACAGAAATCTTTACAAAGAAATTCCGATTGATTTGATATGATGGTACGTTCGTATTTGAAAGAGAAGAATTTATCAAAAGTGCTTGTATGTTAAGAAAAAAACACGGAACATTCGTAAAGATTCCAATTAAAGCATAATTTAAGGATATGCGTTGTATGAATTGATTAATGTATTAGCATCCAAGGAGGTTTCAAGAGATGCATATTCAAAACGAAAGAGTTGTATATTGCGTAAGCAGCGTGAAAAGCATATCATATACTAGTCGGTCAAGGAATTCAGGTCAATATGAGCGCGACGCGTAAGAATTTTGAAGAGGCACACTCGTATATGCTCGATACGTACGTCACCGTCTGGTGTAAATCTTCGAAAGAATGAGTGAGGAACATTCACGTTAAAAATTGTTTCGTTCGGGTAGAAATACGTGTATAGCCTTCTATTATTAAAAAGCTGTAAATTTAGGTTAGGGATAGATATCTCTCTATCCAGTAAAGAGTCTACACAGGTGTGCTTGTTCTTTCGCATATTTATTTCAAATGAAACCAAAAAGCGAATTAAACAAAAATGGTGAACGCGACTCTACTCGAAAATCCGCTGGAATAGAAGAGAGCCTTGATCCTAAATATATCGATATGTTAACGGAATTTATATAATAATAAGACGTTAATCGGTCCCGCAGCCATTATGAGACAAATTTTGTAAAAAATTGGTTTTTTTTTTTAACTGAACGTTAATAAGATATATATAGAGAGGTTTTGAGTAATTTAGGGTGGTGCCAATTAAGAACCGATCACACTGTTCGACCTAATAAAAAATTTTTTATGTTTCTCGCAGTTCCGGGACTGATTAACATCTCTAAGTGATATAAAAACCAATCATCTAGAACTTAGCACTATTCTAAAGTGAACTCAAGTATTACACTATACGTATATCAGATAAAAATATATTACAGTATATATATATAGTATCGATATTTAATTCGCTTGTACGCACTACCACATGTATGACACTGATTAGATACGTACGTACGTACGTACGTAGCTTTTAGATATCTTAAATATCAGATATAGATTTGCTTTATAGAATTGTAACAACTTGCGCTCTCTGAAACATCCTTGTTTTTTACCCGTCCAAAAGCCTCGGGTTCAGACATTCTTTTCGTAAATTTAAATACTAGCGTCAGATTATCATAGCTGTTAAAATGCACGATGCATTTAAAGTTTCTCTTGCATTAGACAAATTGCCGCATAGAATAGAATCCATTTTTGCACATGGTTTGTACTAAAACAAATCAGATACTTTCTAATCGGCGTCAAATAAACTTTTGCATTCATTAAAAAACAACAGGTCAAAAGCTGTTAATAGGCACTAATACAGGTGCCTTACTCGTATATGAGGTCAGAGAAGGTTTGGGTATGTCTTTTTTTTATATGTTATGTGCATATATATAGATCAGGAAAATTTTCTATAATTATACTCTGCCGTTCGGAAATTTAATTGTATGTTCTTCACCTTGGTGATTCTAGAGGATGAACCTTTAACGGTCACTTTGAAAGAGACTGTGAAGCATTTTTCAAAAACTAAAATTGATCAGTTAGATATTATAAAAGAAATTGGCGTCCTAATTTCACTTTCAGGTATTTAATTACTAGGCATATATATGTTGTAAGTGGAAGAAAAATTAAGTGGAAACGGAATTTTTATATAAACCCGGCATTTTGGTGTTGATTTTATCATATGTACACCCTTACCCTAACCCTAATTTAACTTGGAAATTCTGAATTCACTTAATTCCATTCCCACTTACAACATATATAACAAGTAATCATTTTATACCAGGCCATGTATTAAAGTGAACACTCCCTACTATTGTTTTCTAAGATGGCTGTGTCAATATTTTTGATTTGAACACCTTTGAATTGCAACGTTCGTTGGCCAAGACGCGAGGAGCAAATTTATTTGCTATCGACACACACATTGATATCAATGAAGAAGGAGGAAATGGTGGAATTCCTACGATAGTAACACGTTTAGCAGTAGCTGTAAAGAAAAGAATACTTGTTTTCACATGGAAAGATACAGAATTCACAGATACGAAGGTGGAAAATGATAAATTATTTCATTGCATTACTTTTTTTGTTCATAAAACTTTCGTTTTTATGAAAAAAAAAAATTCATTTTCAGGATCTTTCAGTCCCAGAAAAGATCAGAACAATGGCATGGGTTAGTCACAACCAAATTTGCTTGGGATTAGCTAATGAATATTCGCTGATTAACATCAATACTGGTGCAATAACTGGTCTTTTGATGCCATCTGGAAACGCCGGTGCTACCCAATTTTATAACATGGTAGGAATGGGGGCAATTGGAGCAATCGGGGCAATTGGAGCAAAAGTCAGCAAGCCTCTGATGATAAAATTGCCAAACAGAATCCTTTTGGCTAAAGATAGTGGGTATTTCAGGTTATTTGAATTTGATAATTGATAATTCTCTTATTCGTAAACGTTATAGAGTAATTACATCAAATATATTTTCTATGTATATTTGGATGCATCATTATTTGTAATTCTTATCGGAGTGTCTTTAAAAATCAAAAAATACCCGTGTTGACATAATTTTGAAAAAATTAGAAATAAGATTGTATACAATGAGAATTTCAAGAATCGTTATCACTTTTAATTTAACCAATTATTGTTATCTAGATATAAGTGTTTTTGTGGACCCTGATAGTAATGCCACACGAAATGCTGAAATAGATTGGTCTGGAGCGCCCGAAGAAATAGGTGTGAATTGGTCTAAGAATAATGGGAATTAATTATTTAAGATCATCCATTTACTGCATGTACTCATTTTCTTGTGATTAAAGGGTACTCTTATCCTTATCTTATTGCGGTATTTCCGAAGCACGTAGAAGTTAGAAATGTTGAAACTCTGGCATTGGTCCAAACAGTCGAACTTCCGCAACCAAAATTTATTAATCAAGGGAAATACTTGTACATTGCCAATTATACAAGTGTTTGGAGATTCATTCCTTTAAATTTTGAAAAACAAGTACATTGTTACCTTAAATATGTCTTTCAATCATGATGTCTACAATAATTAAATCTTGATTCATTGGGTTCTTTCATTAGATAGATCAATTAATCGATCAACATCAATATGAAGAGGCTATAAGTTTAACTGAGCAAATTGAGCCAATTCTGCTGCAAGATAAGGTAAAAGCGATATGTTCTGTAAATTATATATTAATTAATTATAACTAATTCATTATTATGACAGAAAGCAAAACTTCGACAAATACGAACCCTTCTTGCACGCAATCTTTTTCAACACCAAAAATTCGACGAAGCCATTACTATTTTCCAAGAACTTGAAACTGAACCTGCTGAAGTCATTGCTTTGTATCCTCCATCAATATCCGGAACGCTTCATTCAGATGCATTACATCAACAAAACTTGGAAAAATCTGAAACTAATCACGAAAATGGATTAACTGCCGTGAGTTCTGATCAAAATGAAAAAATTTCTGAAAGTGAAGAACTCGTGAACGGGCAAAAGCAAAAAATTTTTCTCGGTATGCCATATTTTATGTAGATGTTACTATGAACTTTTATGCATTTCTTTATATTGACTTTACGTTATTTCTTCCATATCTATGCTTGATAACAGAAGGAAAGTTGCTTGAAGACGCAGTATCAGCGTTGATAAGATTTTTGACGGACCGACGACAAAAAATATCTAAGATATTGAATTCTAAACCGGAAAAGAGAGGTGATATCTCCTCAGGGTCATCCAATGTTAACGGAAATTACAACCACAACTTGGAAATTGCAGAACTGGTAGATACAGCTCTACTGAGATCGTATATGTTCACAAATGATGCATTAGTCGGGCCGCTTCTTAGGGTGCCTAACCACTGTAATGTTGAGGAAAGTGAAGGGCTTTTATTAGAGCGTAAGGTATATAACTGTCTTGACTTATTAATTTAATATTATCATACTTGCTTACTTATTTACTCGATTATAACAGAAATACAAAGAGCTGGTTGATTTATATCATGGAAAAGGCTTGCATCGCAAATCTTTAGAATTATTGAAGAAGTAAGTTATCATGAAGCTTATTATTATAAATGAATTCAGCTTAGTTCATACGAATGACATATTGTTATTTATAGACTCGGTCAATCACCAGACGGAGGAAAAATGAAAGGCGTATTTCATACGATATATCATATGCATCGTCTTGGAGTAGAACATTTTGATTTGATATTAGAATATGCAGCATGGGTCCTTGAGGCCGATCCTATAGCGGGATTGGAGGTATCATATTGTTATTAATTTGTCCTAAATATTTTCCATTTATATTTTAATAACGTCTATATTTTGATTAGATATTTATTGACGAACATCCCGAAGTCATGAAATTTTCACGAGAAAAAGTCTTAAAATATCTCGAAGGATTTTCACATGACTTATGTATAATGTATTTAGAACATATTATAGGCGAGCTTCACGACCCAACACCAGATTTC